CGTGGGTGCAGCTCGCTTGCCATGCATGCAGCAGCAGCATTCGACTTTCTTAGCTTATTGCATGAATGCGGTGGTGACTCATCCCGCTGGCACTTCGCCTGTGTGACCTGCGTCGCCTGATTCTTGACCGCATCCTCCTGACCTTGGCTGATGCATGCACAACGCGCTGATGATGCAGGTTTCTGACGTGACATGCTTTCCGGCGCATTGCTCACGACTGTACTCGCCGTGGGCGAAGGCTGCTGCTGATGGTACGCCGTACGCACGTAAGCAACGCGATGCGCTATCGGCTACCTCCGTACTCGTACCGGTACTCTACTACTACTCTTGACTGCTCACTGAACGGGCGACAACGGCCAGCGTCAAAGGAGGTCGGTCGGTCGCCCGCCATGACCCGATCTGCACAGAAAAGTGCGAGTGTTGTTTGTGCCTTGTTGATCTGCTGTTCTCTAGTGTGAACACCAAGTCTGAATGCATTTCGTATAGTGATCAAGCAGATCCCTCTTGCCGTCGACCAGAGGGGCTCGTGCCAGCTGCGATCAGCATGTTGCTCCGATCCAAAAAGGGCGTTGGCCACACCTGAGAGAGGATGCTTGCACATCCTTGCAGGATCGCGGCAGCAATCTTGTGCAATCCCCGCCAATGACATTCTGAGCAAGAGCAAAGTCAGAACGGCAGGCCCAAGCGTTCAATGTACTCGGACTTTTGGCCGCGCGACAAGGGGAAAGTAGGTTGCAGTGGGGGTGGACGGTGTCCTCTCGCACTTTGACTCTGCTGACCTTTGCTAGAATTAAGGACCGGCCGCGCGACAGATCGTGAGGGAGCATGCAGCAGCCCATATGCAGTCAATAAGCGTCAGATTCAGGATTGGTCCGCTACCTGACACAAGAGGCTGCGGAAGAACCTGCTGGTTGATTGGTCGATCCGACCGGAAATCTGTTTCCGCGCGATTGGACGAGATGGGGGAGGCGAGCAGCGCGCATCTCACCTTTGGCAGGCCGCCCTATAATTGCTGGCACCGATCTTAGGCCGCGCGCTCATGATGCCTGGACGCGGTGGGCGATGTATCATATGGTCGTGGTTAAATTGCCAACGCGCTGATTGTGCGACGCTTGACTTGACCGCCTTTCTGAGGCAATCGATCATGATCCTCACGACTTTTGAGTCGCTGCTGATATGTACACGCTGGTATCAATATGATGGTTTTTGCGGTGGTGTAATGTCGTACCGGTACACTGATCGAATCGGCAAGAGGAGTCAGGAGTGTTTGAGCCTCCTCCTGCAGCTGTTTGCAGAGATCTCACTTAGACTGCGCCAAGATAAGCCACGCAGGATCGAGCGGCACATGTGATCGAAGGATCGCTTTGGTGGAAAGTGCGGACACTTAGTGACTCTCGAAAGTGAGGTACGGATCCCGCAAATGCTGGCTTACTATTTGGACTTCTCACTGGTGTTGGAGGACTGACCGCTCGCTCTCGCAGGTAGGACCACGAGTGTGGACGCCCAAATACACGATTATCCGCTCATAATCTCGAATCAAGAATATGATCGTGAATCCAGCTGATTTGAAGCGTGCTTGAATCAGCTACAGTCACAGAGTCGCCCGCGGGCCGATTTTGACTTCACGTGCTGATTGACATTCACGATTACGGCCCGGATGGAAGCCCCCCCCC